CTAGTCTAGCTTTGTGCTTGCCAATGGAACCATCTGGCTTAAGTTTCAACTTAAAAACTCATCTGACGCTGATGGCTTTTTTTTATCTGGAAGTTTAGTCAATTTCCAAGTTTTGTTCCTTTCTATTACCTCAAGTTCTTCTTTCATGGCATTAAGCCATTCTTTCTTCTTGAGAGCTTCTTCAATGCCAACTGATTCAAAATCTACTAACATGGAACACTGAACGACTTCTCCTTCAGAGTCAACTTCATTATCCTGCAACATGTCAAAATCTGCAAACCTTCTTGGTTTTTGTCTGATTCTCTGTGGTCTTTGAGCTTGTTCTGAAAATGCACCAGAACTACTACTTTCAGAGTTACCACCTTCAGAGTTTTCCCTTCCAGAACTATGATCACCACCAAATTCTGGATCATCATCATCATCAGGATCAGAATCAGCATCTGGATCAGAATCAGATCCATTTCCTGAATCTTCTTCTGACTCATCTTCAGAATCTTCAGGATCAGATTCATCTTCTGAACTTTCTAAAACATCTTCAGAGGCTAACTCTGGTGTTGGTATTACACCAGAATCTGATTGAGATTTGTTCCAATCCCATGCTTCATACTCTTTTACCACAACGTCTCTGCTAACTTCAACTTTATTAGTTTCTGGACAATAAAGCTTATACGCACCTGTACTGTGGTATCCCACCAGCAACATTACTTTGCTTCTATCATCCAGTTTTTGTCTTCTAGCTTCTGGAATGTGACTCTTCTTATCTCCAGTTCATTTCTCTAAAGGAACAACTTCCTTCAGTTTCTTTGTTGGACACCTGTTTAGAATATATACCGATGTGGCAACAGCTTCTCCCCATAGCACGTGAGGTATCTTTTTCTCTTTCAGCATGCTTCTGGTCATATCAAGTAAAGTTCTGTTTCTTCTTTTAGCAAGACCGTTTTTCTGAGGAGTATATGGAGCATTGACCTCATGTTCTATTCCAGTCTCCTCACAGAACTTCTGAAACACTGTAGAGTTATACTCACCTCCACCATTTGTTCTCAGAATTTTTAACTTCTGACCACTCTGCTTCTCAGCCTTCACTTTGAATTTCTTGAACTCAGTAAACACTTTATGCTTGAACTTGATGAGTGTTACCCATGTCATTCTTGTGAACTCATCCACAAAATACACAAAATAGTTGTTTCCTCCAAGTGAAGGTACTGGAAATGATCCACACACATCAAAATGTACTACTCCAAGAGCATGCTTCGCTTTGGGGGCTACTTCTGATGTAAATGGTAATCTAGGTTGCTTGCCTTTCATGCATATCTCACATGACTTCTCAGGCTTCACAATCTTCGAAATACCATGTACAAGCTTCTTAGAACATAGATGCCCTAAGCTTCTATAGTTCAAATGCCCCAACCTCTTATGCCACAACTTACTGTTACCTTCAGCGACTTCTGCACTAAGACACGTTGCTTCAGCTGTTTCTACATTTACCTTGAATGTTCTGTTGCCTCCTTGTTCAGACTTCATAATCAACTTCTGATTAGAATCATACAATGTCATAAGATTATTTTTCATAACAACTGAGAAACCTTTCTCAACCAGTTGTCCTACGCTCATCAGATTGCTTCTAATACCAGGAACATACCAAACGTCTTTGATCAGAATGTCTTTCCAATTCTTCACTCTAACTCTGACATCTCCCATACCTTCTGCATTAATATACTTATTGTCAGCACATCTGATCTTTGTTCTCCTTCTGAAGTCAAAGTCTGTCAGCCATTGTTTGTTTCCAGTTAAATGATTTGAACAGCCAGTGTCCATATACCACCAATCTTCTGAGCATTTTCCATCAGAGTCAGAAACTATTAGTAGTACAGGTTCATCATCAGAGTTTCTCTTGGCCATATATGCTTCTTCTGATTTCCTTTCCTTGTTTAACCTACAATCTCTGGAAAAATGGCCAAATTATTTACAAGAGTAACATTGAACCTTACTTTTGCCATACCTCTCCTTTCCTTTATGATATTTCTTATCATCAGAAGTTGAGGCTTCTGACTTCTGGAATCTATCACCACGTCTATTATGCTTCTGGTCTTTTTTAACAAAAGAAGCCTTCAGAGCTTGCTCAGCTTCCCTCTCAGAAGTTCTCTCAGACAGGCGTAACTCTTGTGCTTCTATGCTGCTTTGCAATTCTTCTATTCTCATAGTTTCCAGATTTTTAGAATGTTCAATAGAAACAACAATGTAATCAAACTGAGGAGTAAGCGACCTCAGAGTCTTCCCTATGATTACCTGTTCAGACAGAGTTTCTCCACACGTGTTCATCTTGTTAGTGATCAGAATCACTCTGGAGATATATTCAGAAACTTTCTCACTGCTCTTCATGTTCAAGTTCTCATATTGCTTTCGTAGGAATTGAAGCTTCACCTTCTTTACTGATGCGTCACCACCGTAACATCTCACCAGTAAATCCCACGCCCCTTTTGACATTGTTGAATCAGCAATCTTCTCGAACACACTTTCATCCACACATTGATGGATATAGAACAGAGCTTTCTGGTCCCTCTTCCTCATTATCCTCTCAACAGTTCTCTGTTCTTCAGTTGCATCTGCTGCAGCTGGTACATAACCATCTGCAACCAGATCCAGAACATCTTGTGCACCAAACAGCACATGCATTTGTATCATCCATCTGTTCCAGTTTTTGCCATTAAAAACTGGAAGTTTGGTGTTCAAACTACTGTCTCCACTCATTTTAAACCTTGCACAAATTTTTCAGATCTTCAAACACACTATTTCCCAACCCACGGAATCAGATTCTGTTCAGATTTTGTTCAAGATTTCAACAGAAAATCAATGAACCAAAATCAAACACACAACTCACAAACACTCGTGTTTCCCAGGAAAAACAGAACCAAGTGCTCTAGATATCCATTTGTTGGTGCAAGGTAATGAAAGGGGAGAAGAAGAATGAACAATGAACGATAATAAAGAGGACTACTATTGTATATCAAATAGAGGAATGAATGAGTTATAATATTGATAGTCTAGGTAGCATATTTATACTAAAATTGAAAATGCCAAAAGGCCCTGATAAAGAATAAGCATTGAGAATTGTAGACATTAACTAAATTATATTTCCAATATTTTCAATGTAGTAACGGTTACTATTTTTTCAATTATGTATTTACTTTTTACTCTCTACATTACTTTCAATACATTAATAGGTTAATTTTATAAAAGTATAATGTCTTATGACAACATCATTGCATTGTTTAATTTGTGTGCAAAAACTTTAAACGACAATCATTTTGAAATAAATGGAGTAAAATAGAAGGATAAAAAAGAATTGACTTAATACATGTTTTATTCCATTAACTTAATTTAATGTTGTACTTTAGTCTATTAACTAAAAAAGGTTATAAATTAGTCCTTTAATTTTATTTTTGTTATTCTATTTGGTCTATTCTGACAATTTCTAACAAAAAAAAAAAAACATTAAGTTTGATGTTGTGCATTAAAATTCAAGATCTAAATGTGACTCATCATTTATACTATAAAATAGAATTTTCACTTAATATAGTCTTATTAGTGTGATCATCTTTATTGTACCTAATTAAGTAAAAATCTTATTTTATAATATAAATATTTAATCACATTTCAACTTTGTGTTTTATTATACATCTATCTACATCACCAAAATTTTAATATTTTTTTGGTCATAAATTGATAGAATAGATTAAATAAAATATTCGAAATGACGTTAAAAAACTAACTTATAAAATTTTTTATTTATGAGAATAAAGCTAGTTTAAATTAAATACTTCAAATTTTTATCGAAAATATGTTTAAAAAAAACAAAAATAATAAAACAATCGTATAATATTTAAAATTTAATAATAAAACAGTTGTTGAAGTCAATTCCAATCATCTTTAATCTTGAAGTCTCATTATGAACTGTAGTGGCTGCTGACAAAAAAACTCGATAATTGGTTTCACAATCTGAATATTGCTGAGATAATGTTTTTTAATAGTCCCACATTGTTTGACTTAAAGTAATTTTAATGGGAATTCTTTCTCAATTTTTCCAGCCTAACGAACAGTATATAGAATTTGAATGTTAGTGGAGTTGTCCACTCTAGAAAACCATTGTATGGCAATACAATGCTTCTTCAATTTTAAGAAATAATAAATTAATAATAACATTATTTTCTTTTATTCTATTTTTCAATTTTTTCTTTAATAATTTATTTGTTTACAAATGTTTTTATATTAAGTTTATTTTATATTAACAATTTTATAAATAATTGCTTTCTTTAATAAAAATTAATTTTCTTTAATACTTTTATAAAAAAAATTTACTTTAATTATTGTTTAAGTTTAATTAGATTTATTTATTTATTTTATATTAATATTTTGAATTAAAAAAAATTAATATAAATAAATTTTTTAATATATAAAATAAAATTATGGAATCTAATATGAATTCTTTAAAGTTATAGTGAAAAACTAATTGAGTTGTTTCAAGCTGACGTAGCTTAATGAATTCCCTAAAGAACCCAAAAATAGATTCACGATTAGAAATACTCTTAGAGAATTATTTGAGACTGTCTAAAATAATTTTATATAATTTTATATTATTATTTAAGAATTGAAGTTAAAAAGTACTTTATGTACAATAGTTATAATCACATTTTTTCTAATGACAAAACTGAGGATTATAATATAGACTTAAATCATCGCTGCAATAGCGTGAACTTGAAGTTAACCTGAATAATACTTAATTAAAATGAGAGATTATGAAATAATTCACCTAATTTTAGTCCGTAGTTAAGATACTTGACGCATAACTGAAACTTCTTTTCACTAATTAATGCATACATACATTCTAGGGTAACAAACTTTGATTTTATATTAATTTTGAATATATCAATGATGATTTTTTTAGTATAAATATTAGTATGCAAAACAAAACCATTCCATATTTCCACAAACCCAAGCAATACATGATGAGCCCTTTGATAAGAATTGCGTTAGCAATAAACTTAATATGTAACAACCATACCGTAAAAATCCTGATGAAATACTCAACTCACCTTCATATTTTTCTGAAGTGGATATTCAACATCTTCTCTTACTACCTGTCCTATCCCTTATGCAAATTCCAGTGTTTTCATGGTGTGTCCAAATACGTGAATGAATCTCAAGAAGATGTAGATTGTGCTGTCTGTCTCAGCAAGGTGAAAGAAAAGGAAGAGATTAGTGAGTTGCAGTGTAAACATGTGTTTCACAAAGATTGTTTAGAAACTTGGATTAGCTTCAAATGCTACAATACAACTTGTCCTATCTGTAGAGTTTCAGTAGGTTTAGTAAGGGAAATGGATGATCAATGGTTTAATGAGGAGGATTTTCAGATTTCGTGGCTGCGTTGACTCTTTGCTTTGTATAGTTGGTTGAATAGGAAATCAATTGGCCAAAAGAATTTTTCTTGTCTTTTAATAAGGTTTAAGGTTCGTGAGCTCAGTCCATTTTAAAAACTTCTAAAATTTAGAAGCTTGAAGACTAACTGCTTCGAGATTCTCATGAAAAGAAGATTAATCACTTCGATCTATCTTTTGTGAAAATAGGACTAACAACTTCAATCCACGTTTTAGAAGAGAATACTCAACTTCTATATTTCTAGTCTATTGTTTGGTTGAAAGTCAACCATTTTCTTTGTATAAGGGAGTTAGTGAATATTACCTACTAAAAGATCTCAAAGTTTATTGGATACTGTCAAGATCAATTCTTGGTGTTCTCTCTTTTTCCTTAACTCCTTATATTTCTACAAAATTATTTTCCATTGTTTAATATTCAAAATATTTTTAAACTCTGATTTTAATTCGCAAAGTTTTTTAAAATCACATTTTTCTGAACCACGCAATTTACTTCTTCTTGTGTGAAGTCATAAGTCCAACATAACTTACTAAACAAGATTTTATAGAGGGTAAGAGCTTAAATATGTTAAATTGTAATCCAGTGTGTCGAAACTATGTGTCGGAAAGATTTGATTTGTTTTAGATTTAAATAGATTTGATTTAAGTCTAGAATAAATTAGATTTGATTTAGTAACAAAAAAATATTTTGGGCTTTGAGTTTAGGGTGTAAGCTCAGTTATAAATAGAGGGAGTAACCCCTATTTTTGTAAGCAAGTCAAGCAAGTCATTCATAGTATTTTGCAGTAACAAAGTGAATAAGAAAGTTTTCACAGTTTGTGAGCAGAGAGAAATTCTGCAGAAATTATTTGTCTTGTCTTCTTTTCTTTGTTTGTCTCATAATTAAATTGTCACTGTGGTAGAAATTCATCATAGAATTTGGTGGATTTCCAACAAAATAAACTAGAATTTTAAAATAATTGCGTTTTTGGAAAACAACACAGTGTGAATTTTGGGAGTGGAATGGATAATTCTAGTAGACATTTGAAGTATGTTCACTCAGATCTATGGTGTTTGAAAATGGAGACAACTCATGGAGGTGAATTCTATTTCATATCTATTATTAATGATTTGTCTAGAAGATTATGAGTCTATATTCTGAAAAGTAAAAGTGACACATTTGAAAATTTTAATAAATGATATATTTTTATAGTGAATCAATTGGAAACTAAACTGAATATTCTAAGAACTGAAAATGACTTGGATTTTGTTTTAAATCAGTTTAATCAGTTTTGTAGGAAAAGTTGTATCAATAGGCATAAGGTAGTTGTTATCACACCTAAAAAATATGGCTTAGTTGAACACATGAATATAACAATTTTGCAGAGAGGGAGGTGCATATTGTTGGGAGATTGGTTAACAAAGAGTTTATGGGGAGAAGTTGTTGCTACACCTCCTTAATTGATTAACAAATATCTATCTATATGAACAAACATCAAGACACTTATGGAAGTTTGGAGTGAGAAACCAGTAGACTACTCAAATTTAGATATTTTTGAAGCTTTGGTGTTTCCTCATATCAAACAAGAAAAACTTAATGCTAGGGATGTGAAATGTGTCTTCATTAGTTATCATGAAGGGGGTGAAAGTTACGAACTATGAAAGATGAATCCTTGAGGAACAAAATTTATCATAAGTAGGTGTTGTAACTGGTTTTAACATAAGAGTCGCTACTCTTAATTTTTATCATAAGGAAGGGAATATAAATGAATAACCCTATAAAAAGTTAGAGATTCTAGGTTTTTTGACTCGGTTTTAGACGAAAGGAAGGTGTTAGGCACCCCTCGTCTACCTTGTTCACAAGGATACTAGGTTTAGAATTAATCTTTAGAGAATATGATTTTTAGTATTTTATTAGGGGGAAAAGGGGTTTAATTTTAATTAGGGGAACTCGCCACGATTGTAATCGCATGCCTACGTATCCTCTTAGGAGGAATCAAAGTCTCATTTCGTAGTTCGCAATTGGTTTGTGTTTTTTATGGAGTACGAAGATATTTGAATTTCTCGCATACTTAGTCTAGGTGTGTGAATAGCGGAGATATTTAGACAAAGCGCGCAGTTAATTAAAATATGCTTCGTAATCCTTTTCGAAAATTCATTGTTGAATTAATTTACTCATGAAAATGTTTAGTGCTGGTTAAATATTTCTTAGGTATTAATTATAGAAAATATCTTATTTAAATACATGATTAAAAAAATAATTTAATGCAATAAATAAAATATATTTGAATGTGTTTTAGAAAAATATTATTATAAATATAATATTAAATGATATTAAATATATATAAAATATAAAATATAAAAATAATAAACTTAAATAAAATAAATAAAACAAAAACGCAGGGGAGAGGTAAATTATGTTAGGGTAGTAAAAAAAGGGGGGGTGTAGATATTAGGGCCTTGAATTCAGATATTGAATTCAAGCCCAATAAGACAAGGGGATACATTTTTGTGTGTATTAGTAAAACTGGGGGTGTGTGAAGCATCAATTAACCATCAAGCTAAGTTAGAGATTACCTTCTGGCGCCTTAAATTTCTTTGTTTCATTTCCCTTTCTAAGCTCCCTCTTTTTGATTCGCAGGTGGAAGTCGGTGATGATGATTAAGGAGACAATTTGATGGTGGCGGCGGCACAACAACTGGATCTAGGGTTTCAGATGTTGAAACCCTAGGCGGAGGTGAACGAGGATTACAACGTCGAGGCTTCTCTGTCCTTCTCCTGTTACAAAATTTCCCCCTTCTAATAATTTTCTTCTCTGTAATCCTTTCCTCTCTGATTTTTTTTGTTGGTCCCTTCTTTTGATTTCTTCTTAGGTTTTTATAGAGTTTTTAGGATTCATAGATTTATGAAACTTTTTAATATGTATGTAAAGTTAATACAATTTTAATTTTGTATTGATTATGAACTTGATTTTATTTGATTATGTTTGTATTAGGTTTAGATTTGTATTAATTTAGTTTCTGTATTAATTTTGTACAGATTTACCTCTATTTTTATTATAATAAAAATAGTAAGACTAATAATAGGTTAATAATAATAATAATAATAAAAATGTTATAATTTAAACAAAACATTTCTTTTTAAAATGAAAACCAAAAACTGAATTGGGCCACACCGTTTTAATTTATTGGACTTTAACAAGAAACTAAATTGCTTTATACACCCCCTTTTTAATATTTGAAATGGACTAAAAAAATTATATGGGCCATTTCTGATTTAGAAAGGCCCGTAATTTTTCAAAATAGTGTAACTCCTTTCAATATTTAAAATGGGCTGAAACCTGAACAAAATCATACTAAAAAATGCAGTTGGCTCAAAAAAACTTACATGGGTTTTTCTGATTTAGAAAGACCAATTGATTTATTTATAAGATAAACCTCTCTTTATAAATTCTAAACTCTCATAACTATATGAATAGTATTTTATAAAGTAAAGTAACTTTAGCAATAGGAATACAAAAATTAGGACCAAGTAAGGCAAATTTGGGGTATGACAGCTGCCCCTATTTAATTGTCTTTCGATTGAATAGTGCGAAAATACGTAGGTTTCACACGTTCTGATCATAAGTTTATTAAATATTGGAAGATCCTAAAATTATCTGAAATATTATAAGGATACGTTGTACAACATTCCCATGGGTATGAAGAGTAAGCATAGATGATGATGTATCATCTAATCTGCGTTTGAACCAAAGTTAATTTGACTTAGACATGACGATGCAGATAACTCGTCAGTGTTTAAGAAGAGATCGTTTGCATATTTACCGTAATCTATGAGGTAAATGATACAAGTTTGAAAATATGACTTACTAATGCTAAGAGACTAATATAGAAAGTTTTGATTTGATTGTCTATTCATCGCAACCTAGGGGGTGAATAAAACAAAGTCTGATAATACATTGCTGCCTGGAGACTGATGTAATAGAATATGCTGATTTATTCGCATATCTATCACAACCTAGGGGATAGATAATTGAAAAAAATCTTAATAACTACATCACTGCATGAAGCCTGACGCAATGAGTTATATCGAGGATTTCTCACATTGCTGTATGGAGACTGACACAATGGGTTATATCACAAAAAAAGATTGATAATAATATTGTTGCATGGAGACCGGGGAAATGGGCTAAATCACATAGAACTTGATAATAACATTTTTGCATGGAGACTGACGCAATGGGCTATATCGTAGAAAAATCTTGATAATAACATTGCTACATGGAGACTGATGCAATGGGCTATATCGCGGAAAAAGCTTGATAATAACATTGCTGCATGGAGACTGATACAATGGTCTATATCGCGAAAAAAGCTTGATAATAACATTGTTGCATGGAGACTGATGCAATGGGCTATATCGCGGAAAAAGCTTGATAATAACACTACTGCATGGAGACTGATGCAATGGGCTAGATCGCATAGGAGGAAACACATTGCTGCATGGAGACTGACACAATGAGTTAAATTATAGATTTCACACATTGTTGCATGAAGCCTGACACAATGAGCTAGATCGAATAGGAGGAAACACATTACTTCATGGAGGCTGACACAATGAGTTAAATTGTAGATTTTGCACATTGTTGCATGGAGCCTGACGCAATGAGCTAGATCGCAGAAGAGAAAACACATTGTTGCATGGAGCCTGACACAATGAGTTAAATTGTGGATTTCGCATATTACTGCATGGAGTCTGACACAATGAGCTAGATCACAAAGGATGAAACACATTGTTGCATGGAGCCTGACACAATGAGTTAAATGGCGTATTTTGCACATTGTTGCATGGAGCCTGACGCAATAAGCTAGATCGCAGAGGAGGAAACACATTGTTGCATGGAGCCTGACACAATGAGTTAAATTGTAGAGGAAGTTGTTTTGATGATCAAATCTTAGATAACTAAATCAGAGATGAGATCGGTTTTTTACTGGTTGTGTCTATTTTTAACTAAGGTA